CACGGAAACATTGCGAGCATTGCGGCCAGCAACGTTACAAACATTTGATAGCCTGCTGCTTGCCAATCCAGGTAATCCAGGTATTATTATCAATATTATTACAGTATTTAATGTCAAAGTGAGTCCAATAAATGAGATCAATATGATACCGTTTTGACCGACATCGTATCCGGCTTGATTGTGAATACCGAAAATACCTTTATTCACATGCCATATTTCATTTTCAGCCACAAAGGGTGCTGTGAACGGAGGTTGTGGAATTGAGAAATTGAAGTTGTTCCATGTCGGTTGAAGTGGTGTGCCGTACGGCTGTGACTTTGCCTATCAATTGGAACACTCTAGTTACTTCAAGCTCGTTACTTCAAGCTTTAAGCTCAGGTTACTTCTTTACTTCAAGCTTCAAGTTACTTCAGATCCTCATTACAATGCTTAATTCCAGGCTTTAATGTCTTCTCCCCGAATTTCAAAGGCTTTAAATGTTTGACAACTAATTTGAATGAAAATTTTCAGCCACACTGAAGGATATANTCTCCCCGAATTTCAAAGGCTTTAAATGTTTGACAACTAATTTGAATGAAAATTTTCAGCCACACTGAAGGATATATCACACACAAGAACAACGTTTTTAACAGCAGTGAATATGGATCAGTGGCTGCTAATGCCTAGAAAATGATTCAGGAGTCATTGAAAATGAACGGTATGAAGCAGTCAGTTTTGGCCTAATTCAGAGACTGAAGAATTCATGTGATTCCTTTGCAGAATGGCTAGAGAATGCTGGAACACCGTGAGTTTGAAGATGGTCATTATAACACTGCTATAATAATGTACAAATTGATCATTAGAATGCTAGAGAATGCGTAATAAACATTCATCTGAAGGGACTGAAAATCGCTCACGGTGTGATCAAACAGACAAACCTTCAGAATCGATGGACAAATGATATGGCGATAGATTTCTTTGCCGAGTGATTTCGGTTCAAAGCCATCTTTAATTAGCGTTACCCAAAGTCCTAAAAGCTCCCCATCGACAGATTAGAGCATTCTTTTTTGCTTTGCACGGAGGAGCCTTCTAATGTATTGCAAATGATCGCTAAAAGGCTTCGCTGCCATAAGCCATAAGCTCAACGTGAAATGTCATACCCCAAATGCCCACAGTATGCGTTTCTTTGCAAAATAACTGGTTGAGAATCAATTGGTCTAAGCAGGGAATGAGGAGGGTGGATATTATCAAAAGCACTTATGTCCTTAGATCAATTCTCGGATGTAATTGAAACGAATCAAAGCGGTGATTCGCTCGAATGAGAGCGTGACCGCTCAATCTGCCTAAAGACATTTAGCCTAATGACAGTTGGCCTAACGACACATTGCCTAACGGACAGTTTATCCAACGGACAGTTTGCCTAACGGACAGTCTGCCTAACTTACGGTTTTTCAACGGATATTTCGCCTAATAGGCAAACCGTTCCTCAGGCAAACTGTCCGTTAGGCAATGTGTCTTTAGGCAAACTGTCCGCTAGGCTAAATGTCTTTAGGCAGCTTGACCGGCAACCGAGTAAGAGACCTCGTTGTTCTGCATTATAGACGAGTTCACTGAGTGCTTGATCAAGTTCCAGTGACAAAGCCAACTCCATCTTCTTGATAAGTCCAAGCTGAAAATGGCTGTTTTTATTCGATGCTGATCGCCAAGTGATCGTGATATTGCCCTCATAGTGATCACAAGCGATCACAAATCAGCAAGCTCTGTGGATCATCCTATCGTCAGACTTAACCGCTGCGATAAGTCACATTCAACCACACAATATTCATCTTTAAAATCATGCTGAACAGCCTTTGGGGTAAATGCTTTATATCGATACACACAGGACATTGGATAAGAAATCAGCGGAAACTACTGACGTCCAGCGCACGGATATGCGCTGTCAGCTTGGACAATATGATATCGGCTCTGTAGGCGTTTGCAGCTCGTGCAATCCGTGGCAAATCCGTTTCGATAGGTCGCCTTGTTGCATAGATCTGATAGAGCAGCTCACGGAAAGCCTCCATTTCAAAATCACCCATGTCTATGATGGCTCCGTCGGCTGCTTCGTAAAGCAATGAGGCTGAAATTGCTGGACACCTTTGAAGATGTACGATCTAGCGTAAGTGACTAAATTTACTTTGTATTGGAATGCAACTCGATTCAAATGATATAAATGTTTGATAATTCATGAAGATCATATCGAAAGGAATGTTTCGAGCTACCAGATTCTCTGATATCAAAAACTAGGCTCAAATTCTCGTCAATCTCAGTGAATCCTTCCGTATTCTAAGCTGAGGATAAGCAAGCTCTGAACTCACCCATATATCTGGAGTGCAATGCTAGCAAATTCTTATCCGCACAAAGTGTGGTGCCACCTTTGAATTGCAGCACCACATCACCAGCATGGAAGTAGGGCAGCTGCTCATATAACTGAAAATTCGAGAATCATTCGTCTGCGGCAAAAATTGGATCAGTTCAGCTCACCTACAACAAGCTAAATGCGATCGGATATGATCACACAATAGATCATGTTATGCGTTTAGTCACCCAAAACACTGACCATGTTGGTGAATTTGAATTCGAGTTTGATGCGTTTCACGGCCGAATCCACCACT